ACATCTCGCACTAAAACAGTGTTTTTTCGACTTATCATGGTATGATCGCCAAAAAATAGGTAAAAACCTTAGACACGCTCCACTCATAATAATTCTTTCTGTTCATGACTTTTTGAAAATTTTTCCGTGAATCGGAATTTTTACTCGTAATCTTACCAAAACTTCGAAAAGTCTGATAATTTTTGGGAATTTTTTTATTTTATTTTCAATAAACATTTTCACATTTACCCAGCTAATTCTTAAAATTTTAAATTGATTTTTATGGCTGTCAATAAGCAACTCGATTCTAAGGGCAATTTAAGAAATTATTTCAAAATTATACAAAAATATATACATATATTTATAACTTCTCATTAAATAATGCTTAAATGTTTACTTAAAAATATTTAAAAATTTATTTAAATTTCTAAATACATATTATTTAGACTTGTTTGAATTTTAAATCGTTTAAATTTTTGGGTATCTCCTTCTAACCGTTAATATAATCTGATAGTTAAATGCAAATTATGTTGTTCATCTTACATGTAGGACTACTCAAAAAATTTATCCAGCATTTTCCAAACATTTTTACAAAACATTTTTAGTAATTTTAAAAATCTAGTGTCAATAAATATTTTTATAAATTATTATTCTTTTTGGTTTCAATTTAGTTGGATCCAGAAAAATTTTTGCCATAAAATCATAATTCGTTTTTTATTCTCATCTTTCTTAATATGTACATTCAGTAAATGCTCTAATAGAACCACATGCGATTCAAGAACACGTCCAAGTAGGAGCGCGGCCATAGCGGCGCAAAGCCATAACTAACTGTAAAATTTCTGGACTTTAACAATTTTGGTATAATCTCTAGCTCGAGGAGAGGAATCGTTTGAGGAACGATTCTGAAATCTTGAAGTAAGTTAAGGCTTTGCGCCGTTATGGCCGCGCGCCTACATAGGTTGTACCCGTGCTTCTATTTTTCGTCGATCCTCTTGTAGGGTGTGCTTATATTAGGGAGTGTGCTTCAAATAGAGAGTGTGGTTCTATTAGAGCATTTAAAGTAAATATTCTTATTTAAACAAACCGTCCAATGCTAAAATTTTATTTCTTAACATTATTATTTATTTTTGGATTTTGTTGGGAAATTGATATTGAAATAGAAATAAATGAAGATTATTTATTGACACGTCAATTTAATAATCTTTTGAATTTAAAAAATAATAAAAAACAAATTTTGGATTGTTCATTAATTATTAAAGTTGGAAATGAAAAGATGGCTATTAAAGGAATATTAAAAGAAAATAAATTAAAATTTTTAGATGTCTCAGAAGAATTCTTACTTGAAGGAATTTATTCTAAAAATAAAAATAATTATGCGGAATTTTTATTTGAATTACCTGAAAATTATTTTGTCTCAAAATTTAATTTAAAAGAAAATTTTGCCGGAAATCAGGTAGGGGAAATCAATGAAAAAAATTTATTTAATTTTAATTACTTGTTATTATATGTATGTATGAAGTGATGTAAACATTTCATTAATTTAATTATATTTTTTATCCCACCCTAAATGCCTATACCTGTAATGCTTACAATAGTATGATAAAATCATTTTTTTAATTCTTTAAAAGTTTAATTGAGGATCTGGAGGGATTAAAGGGACTTCTGTAAGCCATGAGCTTTACTTTTATGCGTTAAGTTTCAGGATTAAATTTTATAACATATTCTCCGTTGGGAGCAGGCCACCTATGTACCGCAGAGCTATAACAAATAGTCGAATCCGGGACGCCTTGGTATGGTTCGATGCATCTCGACGAGCTGAATCGAACCATATCGGGGAGTCTCGGATTCGACCCTTTTGAACGAAGTTATAGCTCTTTGTTACGTTGGCCTCGCGGTACGTAGGGGTGTACTCTTAACCGTTATACCATACTCGGAGTAAGAAGATCTTTAAAGTATGTAGAGCTTTTTTTAGCTTTTTCCCCTTTAACTAAAGTGATTATATGAAAAAAAGTATTTTAAATAGCATTTACTTCGGTAAAAGGAGATTCTATAAAGTTTACATTAAATTTTACAATTAATACATGAATAAATTTTTAGATAATACATAGAAAAATTTATCAAAACAATTTTGAAGATATTTTAAATAATTCATATAAAATATCCATTTTGCCTGGAAAACACGAATTTAATTTAAATTTAAACAATATTCAAAGTAAAATTAATTATTACCGTCAATTCTATTTGGAGAGTATTTGGCACGAAATTAATTTATTTTCGAGAAAAGTGGAATTATTAAATAAAGCCAAAAATATGGTATAAAAATTTTAGAGTCGAACCTTTCATTTTTTTAATTTTTATTTGATTTGATTTAAAAAATCCTTAATCAAATGAAAAATTTTTCATTGTGATTCCCTCAGCCTTTGAGATTCCCCCAGAATCTCAAAGACTGGGATTTTCTTTGTGATTCCTCCAGATTTGAGATTCCCGACGAGATCTCGAAAACTAACCCAGTCATGTTTCCAATATCGATATCAATCACATATATTTTTCACTATTCCTTGGGACGAGTTTAACCACCTTATTTAGAATAGACAGGTTCCGTAAGAAAGGTTCGGCCATCATAAATAAAAATAATAAAGGAGGAAAAACATTTGGATGAATTTGAAAAAATATATCAGAAATTGTTTGACAATGGTATTTGTTAATTTAATTATTTTTATTTTGTTGATAATTTTTATTAAAATTCACATAATTAATAATAAAGCTACATCCGTAAAAAACCCTGGATAATTAATGTTTCGACCTCTCTCTGGAGAGGGTAACTGATAGAGGCTAATTATAACTATTTTTAAGCGAGTAATTATTGTTTCAACTTTTCATTGGAGGGAGTAACTAAAGTAAAGTAGCTGGGCTACTTTATATTTCTCTCCTTTAGCTAGTGCAAAAGGTTATTCGGCGGCTGGGAGCGAACCAGCATCTTCAGTAGACCGGACTGATGTGTTAGCCATTACACTACGCCTTCTACTGCACAACCTTAGAAATTAAATAGCTATATGCTTTATACTACAGGGTGACAAGAAATGTTTAGGACAATTTTCATTTTGCCTTAACTTTTTTTCTCATTAATATTTTTTAAATATTTTAATCTCATTTTGTAGCCCAAACAATTTTCTTTCAGTGCTTATAAGTCAGATTCCATTATTAAACATTTTTCTTAAAGATTAAGCGTTTGCTAATTAATATATATATATGGTATTATCGAAATTAAAAAAATCTTTGTTGTAAATAAATGTTGATAAATAAATATCCCTTTTCAGTCATTTAAATAATTTCAGATCCATTTATTATATATATGAAGAAAGCTGAAGCAATATCTCTATTTAACCTTATTAAATCTATTTTACTAGAAGCAAATAATTATCAAAAAAATTTTATAAAAGAGATCATTCAAAACAAAGAAAATACAAGTATTTCAACGAATTTAAATATAATTTTAAAATATAATAATAGTAATTTATTTGGTTTACATACAATTGGGGGCGAAAATTTGTTTAATGTTTTGAAGGAGGAATGCTTTGATTTTACAAAACAAATTTTTAACAAAATAGGTAATTAAATATTTAAATTAATAATTATTCCCAACCGAAAAAGGGATTAGATTAATTACACATAATTTAAAAAATCTCCGTAATCTTAACAAAAATTCGAATACTAACTGAAAATGTCAACCTAAAAACTACATAGATTAGTGCAAGCAAAATTCCTTATTGTTCTGTCATTACACCTAACATGCCGTAATATTTAAAAAAATTAATTTATGGCAAAATTATTTACGTATTAATTAAAAGACGGGTTTTCAGGGTTCGGGTTGGGGATAAATATGACCTTGGCCTAGTGCTACTCTAGTATTAACATACAGATTAGTTACAAGATTCTTATATTTTTTTGTATTTCAAATCCAATACCGAATTTTGACCTCTCTCTGAAGAGGGTAACTGATAGAAGCTAGGTAATTAAAACATTTTGGAATATGTATGGGAAATGTGGGAAAATTTATAATTCATTCTATTAGAATAAAAAAATATAATTTTTATAGATGAATACAAAGAATTCAATATACCGGTCAATAATGCAAGTTTATTCAGTAAAATAAATAGTCGTATGAATTTATTGTTCTTATTCCGCGCTATTTTGGAATTATACAAAGTTTTGTCAGAAAAGATTGAAATTAACGATAATGAAAATTTATATAACGAAATGTTAAACAAAATTAAGGAATGTTTAAAAAAGCCAAAAAAGTGCTTAGCATTTCCAAGAATGAAGCATACTTTTGGCATAATTCTTCAATTCGGGTATGGACAGATTGTTAAAAAATTAATTGATGGAAAAATTAATGTGGAAATTAATTAAAAGAATTATAAGGATAGTATGAGAAGAATTTTTAATGACAAATTGAAAAAAAAATATTTGAAATTTAAAGTATACATATGCTAGTCAATTTAGTATTTTAAGACAAATTATTTAACACAAAATATTTTGTTTAAAATTTTTTTAATTAAAAAGTTTTTAAAATGATACATATTTATTTTCCTTTAACAAATTATAAACATAATAGTCTTACCCTCTTAATTTTCCCAAATCACCGGATATCTTCCCAAAACTCTAGATATTGCTTTTAAACCCAACCACTCCAAATACCCCTATAGATTCCAACTCCACATCCTGATCCCTGTAAATCCACCGATATCCTTCTATCGGTTACCGTGCCTAATTTTTTGAAATTTTTGCTTATATACATTTACCAAACTCAATTAATTTGTAATTTTAATTATCAAAAATTAAAGATTTTTTAAAATAATATTTATTTCCTTCAACTAATTGTGTGTAAAATAATATTTTAGTAAATTGCTTGAAAAATAACATGACTTTCTAAATTTAGATTATCTGCTAGAAAAAGCTAATTATTCTATTGTAATACCTAAATAGTTAACAACAATTATTCCTAATTTAAAGAAAATATTTTAAAAAGTTCCAAAAGAAATTTCAGAGGATTCAATTCCACATTCATCCACACCTCTAGCAATTTTGAAATATCCATTCATTCCCCAATCATAATTCCATTGGTTGGCACACAACCAATAATCCAAATGTGTTCCGTCTGGATAAGTGTCTGTACCCCAACCAATCATTCTAACGGCATGCCCGCCTACATAAACATCAGAAGTTTGCTAAATTTAATTTATAATTTTAGTAAAAGGCAATTAAAGTCTATCCAAAATTTGCCTGATATACTCCTGATGAATAATACATAAAATCATCGTAAACATCAAAAGCAGCTACAACAGAACCATTAGCCATTATTTCATTTTGAATGGCTGCTACATTACTTTGAATATAACCTGTTGTTTTAGCTTAATTTAAAAGAATATTTTGATAAATATTTAAATTAAAGACTAAACTATATTTTTTATCCTGGGTATAAGCAACATTCCAAGCACTCGATGTACATGAAGAGACACAGGACGGGGCAGTGTATTCAGTTGATCCATGGGGAGGGAATGGATATGGTTTACAACCACTGTTCCAAGTATAATTGGTTCCGGTAACAAGACCTTTAATTAAAAATCAGATGATATTTGAGAATGATATTTCTTTAAAAAAAGATATGGCAGGTTGGCACCTACCTGGCATCAGAAAGTTTGCCTAACTTTTCTATTATCTTTTTCTGTATCTTTTTGTATTTTGTTTAATTTGATTACTAATGTTAATTTTTTAACGTTAAGATTGCATAATTACTATCAGAGTGCCAGAGACGAATATTTAGTAGGAGGTTCCATTGAATATCACAGTAAAAATAATTTAAATACCTGAAGTCTGTGTATATTTCCATGCATAGTAAGGATCACCTCCACCACATCCCCACATTCCCGGAGTACAACTCATCAACTCTAGTGCTGAGAAGTAAACTGATGGATTTGTCTTTAAAGGTGCTGAATTCCCCTTTTTTACTTGACTAATACAATAACGATCAGTTAAAGCTGAGGCGGTGGAGACAGCCCAACAATCTCCACAACTTGATTGGTCCTGTTTGAAGGATTTTTTATTTATTAAATTCCTAATTACCTGAATCATTCCAACAATTCCAGCACAAGATGCAAATCCTGTACGAACATCAAAAGAAGCTGGAATTGAACGTTTACGGCGAAGATTTGTTTTTACGGGAGTAGAGACTTGTTTTTTCGGGACTTTAAGCTTTGCCCCGAGCATTACTGAATGCTTCTCCAATTTAGCAATTCGATGATGTAATTTAGCAATCCATTTTCCTTTATTTTTAGCGTTTGCCTTATCAACTATTTTTTGAGCTTTATCTAACTTTTCTTTTTCAGTCAGAGTTGCTGAGGAGGATAAGTAATAAATTTGGGCAAAAATAAGGAATAAAAAAATTATTTTTATCATTTCTTATAAGGGGTTGAATTTAATATTCTTATTAATAAAATTAGGAATTGTTGTCTTAAACCCGAAACTTGAATCCATTTTATATTGAATTGAAGATACACTTTATGTTTGAACAACTTTTAAAAGTTTATTAAAAATATTTTGGATAGTCTCTTAATTTTTAAAATATTATTGAAATTAACTCAAAAATATTTATTTATACATATTATAGTTTTGCACTTTACTCAAATATATTGCAATTTAAATAATATTTTCTAGACATAATATTTTTATATTTTATAAAATTAAAGCAAACAAAAATAATTTAAATTTTTAAATTCTGTTGAATTTTGTATGAAAATATTTAAAATAAAAAATAAATACTTTAAATAATAAAAATATTTTTACTTTGTTTATGTACTCGATAGTTACCATCCCTAAATTATTACCCCACCCCCTCCTCCTCCTCCCTCAATAATTTTCTTCTCCCTATTAATTATCCCTTTTAGCGAGAGATTGAAAAAATAATTACCCCGGATAATTTTATGAAATCTAACGTTTCTTCAATTTATTCGCAATTATTGTTTGTTTTGGATATAATTAATGTAAATATTTATTATTAAAAATATGTGGGAGTTAAAAAATATTTTTTTAAATTTTTTAAACATTTGTTCAAATATATTTATGAAGGACATATAAATTAATATATAAAGGATTATTTAATATTTAACTTTAATACATTAATTCCATAATTTATTAATACCTAATAATCAAATAAAATTTAAAAATGTTAAAAATACTAAACATTTTCTTAATTATTTTAATTATAAAAATAACTGCGTCATTAAAGCTTAGCATTGAAGAGACACTGAATAAAGCAAAAACATTTGTTGAAAAAATTAATTTAGAAGCAAAAGGATGGGACGCTAAATTACATAAACGTTTTGCTTTAATGGAAGATAAACATTTAAAAATGTTAGGAGTTAAACTTGCAAAAACTTTGGCTCCACCACCTCCAAGAAATGAATCGAAAGAGAAAAATAAGGGAGAAGGGAAACATATTAGAAGGAAAAGGCAAACAAGTTGTACTGACACTGTTGGATTTGATGCTCGTAACACGTTTCAGTGTTGTGCTGGAATTATTGGTGCAATTCAGGTAAAAATTAGATGTTTAGGAAGTAGAATGAAAAGTCTTTTAGGATCAATCCAGCTGTGGAAGTTGTTGGGCAGTAGCTGTTTCTTCTGCTTTTACTGATCGTTATTGCATTTCCCGCATGAAAGCAGGAAATCCCCCAGCTTTTAATGATCCGACAGCAAGATTTTCTGCTGCGGATATGTTGAGTTGTGCAACCTACACTTCCGGTTGCAATGGAGGAGATCCTTATAATGCCTGGTTGTGGACATACACCTCGGGTATTTGTTAATAATTGAAAGTAAATAGGCAAACAATTTCCATTTAAAGGAATTGTGACCGGAACAGATTATACCTGGGCTACTGGATGTAAGCCTTATCCCTTCCCACCACATGGAACAACTATGTACACTGCGCCAGCTTGCACATATTCTTGTACAACAGCGTGGAATAAGGCTTATAGCGTTGATAAAAGATTTTGTTTGTGATTTTATGATTAATATTTATTCGAATTTTTCTATTAAAGCACAAATGGTTTATTTCTTGCAAGGGCAAGGAAATGTTGCTGCAATTCAAAATGAGATTAAAGCAAATGGCTCTGTTGTAGCTGTTTTTGATTTGTATAGCGATTTCTATTATTATTCTAGTGGAGTATATTCGGTAATTATTTATGTTTCTTCCAACAATAGGATTAAATTAGAGTAGCAACCCGACCCCGAAACATCGAACTCCGATATGTCCTCGCCGGCAAACCCCGATCTCGATATACCCGACCCCGAAGGGTCGGGTTGCTACTCGAGATTAAAGTCATTCAATTCTTATTTACCTAATAATTATCAAAATAATATTTTAATTTATTCAGCACACCCCCTCAGCAACTTATGAAGGAGGACATGCAGTTAGAGTTCTGGGATGGGGCACACAAACATGTTCAGACGGAACACGAAGAGATTATTGGTTAGCCGCCAATCAATGGAATACTGATTGGGGAATGCAAGGATTTTTCAAAATTCTTCGTGGAACTGATGAGTGCCGTTTTGAATCTTCAGAAATTTCATTTGGCACTCCAAATATTAAATGATTAAAAAAATTTATTGACAAAGTTTATTATGTAAAAATCGTAGAATTTAAATTATGTAGTTAGTAGAAATATGCCAATTATACATTATATTTAATTATTTAAATATTGGTAGATGTAAATTAAATAATAAAAATATTTTGAATAATTATATAATTTATTTAAAAGATAAAGAAATATCTAGCATTCTTAGAAAATTTTAAGAAAAATTATTGGGAAATATAAAATATTAATTAATTAAAACAATTATTTTTAAGTTAAATATGGGCACATCATTAGGTTAAATAAACTGGAAATAAAATTAATTAGATTCTTAAAAAGATGCTTACTTATTTATCAACTTTTGTCAAAGAATATTAAGTTTTTGCAGTTTCTTAACATTTTACTTACCAAGTACATTTTAATATTGTTTTTGATAATTTAAGTATTCAAAAATTTAAGTATTCAAAAATTTAAGTATTCAACTGTCAATATTTTATTTAATCAAAATATAATTATAATTATTTTCGAAAATGATAAATTTTTAAATCATGTCATTTCGGCACGCGACTAGTAAATTTAGAAAGACAAGACAAAACTTTAAAATAAGCCTCTTTCAACTGTTTCCGCAGGAAGGATTGTTAAGTTACCCCAAATATTTTCTAGTAATTTTATTTCTTTTCATTAAATTTAAGTTTAAATGAAAGCACGAAAAATCCTCAAGATTTCTACGCATTTCCTGCAGACTGGATTAGTGTTTTAAATAACTCTATGGAAAGATTGCTTTATTTAAGCTAAAGAGTTTTGGCCTTTTTTCTTTAATAAAATTATTTTTTAAAAATCTAATTTTTAGGTATTACAGAAATACACAATGTGGCGATTTAATGGAAAAAATATTGTAATTTTATATTTAAAATTAGATAAATTATGGTTCCATAATTGGAGACAGGATTTTTATACAAATGACTTTTTCCCCTAAATAGGCTTGATGATTATAAGTAAAGCAGCTGGGCTATAGCTATTTCTCTCCTTTAGCTAGTGCAAAAGGTTATTCGGCGGCTGGGAGCGAACCAGCATCTTCAGTAGACCGGACTGATGTGTTAGCCATTACACTACGCCTTCTACTGCACAACCTTAGAAATTAAATAGCTATGTATATGCTTTATACTACAGGGTGACAAGAAATGTTTAGGACAATTTTCATTTTGCCTTAACTTTTTTTCTCATTAATATTTTTTAAATATTTTAATCTCATTTTGTAGCCCAAACAATTTTCTTTCAGTGCTTATAAGTCAGATTCCATTATTAAACATTTTTCTTAAAGATTAAGCTTTTCATTGGAGGGAGTAACTAAAGTAAAGTAGCTGGGCTACTTTATATTTCTCTCCTTTAGCTAGTGCAAAAGGTTATTCGGCGGCTGGGAGCGAACCAGCATCTTCAGTAGACCGGACTGATGTGTTAGCCATTACACTACGCGCCTAATGCACAGCTTTAGGAATTTGATAGCTATATGCTTTACATAAGTATTCAAATTTGGTATTAGCTAAAAGAACTTTGAGTTAACTTAGCTTATTTTTGCTGCCTAGTTTAAAGAGCTGTCCAAGACTCTTAGTCTTGAGTCTTGACTCAAAACTTTTCTTGGGTTTTTTTTTGATCTTGGTCTCGAGTCCTGGAAAATTTTCACTCTTGGACAGCTCTAATGCCTAGTATGGCTGTTTATCAACGCAAATTTGGAGCCAATTCCTTTCTCTATTTATTAACTATACCAAAATTTGATAAAAATACTAATTTTTAGTGTACAACATTAAATATAACAACAATTGCTATACTAGTTTTTCTGAACATTAATAACGAAGCGTTCATTGCTGTTGAAGGTTCGGAGCCTGAGTCATTACAAGGAAATTTTGCTTTAGCAAAATGTAAGGAATTTATTTCCTAATAAATTCTGTTAAATTAAAAACAAACAATTTATTAAAATTTTTTTCAAGTTTTCACATTAGAAGACAATAATGCCGTCAGAACTTTTCAGCCCTTGGACAAACGCCAATCCAAACAAACAGCAAAAGAAGTACAAGTGAGGAATGGAAATGATGAGTCTGGGTTTGCATTCGCTTTTGCAAAAAGAAATGTTGAAAGATTTGCTAAAATAAAAAGGGGAGAAAGTAAATCTGAGATGCCATTTGCCGGTTAGAATATTCGGAGCAGTTCAACTGAGTCTCGGCTCAATTGAATCCCGGCCCTATAACTCAAGTACATGTTGATAATTTTTTGTGATTTTGGTACCATTTGATAAAGCATTAGATGTACTACAATATAATAAAGAATCAAAATTTTTGATTGATTGGAAAAAAAGTTATGATCTAATAACTAACTTTTTCAAAAAATCTAATTTTTCGGCACTTTATCGATCAAAACTTTTTACCAGTCGGTCAGGAATTTTAATTTTTTGATATATTGTAAAATATTTAATGCTCTATTCAATGGTACCAAGAGCAAAAAAAGTGACCATCCCTTCATAAGTTATAGGGTCCGGGACTCAGTTGAGTCGGGACTCAATTGAAGTGTACCGTAGAATATTAATATAAAAAATTTAAATTTTATTTTTAGTGGAACTTGTTGAGCTCGTTCCCGGCAATATAGTAAATAATGGCGGTGTTTCTGGTGCTCGCTTTGCCAGACACTCCGAACTCTCCAACTTTGCCAGACGTTGAGAAATATAAATTTAATTGAAGAAATATGTAAAATTTAAAAATTAATGGAAAATATTAAATATGAAATATTTTTAAAGAATTAAATAAATAATTATAAATAAATTTTTAAAAAGAAATTTTATTCACAATTAGGTCGACAAATTTTACTTGAATTTAATTTGTACTAAATCTTTGTCCTGAGCTTTCTCTTGACTTTATAACCTAATAATTTGGTAATTGTGTCAATCTCTCTTCCCAAAAAGAAATAAAACTTTCGCTTGAACCATTTGCCTCAAAGAAAAATTTAATGTTGATAACTCCATTTCAACTTTTCGCCCAACAATAGAAGATGCGTATTATGTAAGTGATCTTCGAGACTCTCGGTCTGGGTTTCAGAGTCAGGAAATTTCCCAGGGTTTTGAGCTCTCGCTTCTCGGTTTCGACTCTCTGCTTTTTTTTAACTCCCGAACATCTCTAACCTATATTACAGGGCTGGGCGAAATCTAAAAATAAAAAGCGAAATGCGAACGCGGAAGTGCGAAATAAGCCCAGCCCTGTTATATTTCACATATAAATATCACATATTTTTAACTCCTTTACTTTTATCTTTCGCCCAACAATGCCTATTTAAATAAACAAAAGCCTAAAAAATATTTTCTTTGATAACTTAAGGATATTTTTAATAATTAAAAAATTTTTTTATTATCATCCAAAAACAAAGTATTTCTTCATAATTATTTTAAATTTACAAAAAAATTTTATTTTTTAAAATTGATTTTATTTTAGGCTATAAAAAATCCAAAAAGTTTTATTCCTCATATTTTTTAGAATTTTTATTTAAAATTAGCAGATAATAAAAATTTACTATTTTCTCACACATAGGTTTTTTGCTTTATTGCTTTAAATATACATATGAGAGTTTGTGTATATCAAAGCTATAAAATTATTGGCAACTTTAAAAAAAATTTTTTAGTAATAAAATTTTGTTTATTTTATTTATATTTTTGAAATTTATATTTCATATAAAGTAGTGGGCATAAAGACGGGGACAAACTCACTTATTTTTTGGTTAAAAAATGATTTTAGGAAAAAATTTTGCTTGATTAAATACTCCATTCAATTCTCTATCTAAGGAGCATAAGCTTTGCCGGATTAATATTTTTCAATATCGAGCCTAAACTGAAATAAAAATATCATGCTATTTTTCGCGTTTCACAAAGATAGAGTTCACAAAGACAAGTCTTTTAACTAAGTATTCATCCGGACAATAAATCTCAAAAATTCATCCACCCATATTGTGTGTAAAGTAAAGCAGCTGGGCTATAGCTATTTCTCTCCTTTAGCTAGTGCAAAAGGTTAATCGGCGGCTGGGAGCAAACCAGCATCTTCAGCAGACCGGACTGATGTGTTAGCCATTACACCACGCTGCCTACTGCACTGCCTTAGGAATTAAATAGCTATATGCTTTAATATGGTTGGTCTCATTTCTCATTAACTTCTAATTTGGCTGCTGCGTTAAAGTACAACAAGCGTTTAAGTGAGATTTATAACGTTTCGTTTCTGATAATTTTGGATAATATTTATTTATGTATTCACCACTCAATTAAGCCTGAAATTTTTCAGAAACCGTTAGCCTTCACTATAAAACATACTCTCACTTAAATATTTTATGTTTTAATGTAAAAGTAAGCCTATTTGATCTCTGGGAAAGGCCGTTTATGCTTAAATTTTGAAATCTCTGGAATTCGTTACTTAGAGAGTTAAGTAATGGGTATTCTTCACGTGATTTCATGTTGATTGAGATTCTACAAAATTGTATTTAAATAAAATAAATTTATTTTATTATTATGTTTACACACCTTTTTATTATAAAATACGCAAGAATAAGTATTGAGTTTTTACTCTATATTTAGAAATTTAATCTAAAAAATATTTTTATAATTTTTATTCAATAAATAAATTTTCTAAACACAAAAAAGATTTAATTTATTTTAATAAATATTTACAGGGGACAAAAAAGGAATACGCAAGAATAAGAATTCTCATTTAAATTTTTAAATATTTTGTCACTCATTTTGTAGCCGAATTAATTCTCTTCAGTGCTGGGTATAATTGGATAAAACTCGGAACCTAACTCACTATCCATTCAACCACAACTACTTTACAAAGGAAAGGAAAGAAAATCTTTTTTACCCGTCTCAATTTTCTCTTTCTTTTCTTTTCTCGCCTACCATCTTTGCTTACTTCTTTTTCTCTAACCCATCTTTAGGGGTGTATAGCCGGAGCCGTGGGGAATTGGAAAACCTTGGCTCCGGCTCCGGGCTCCGGGGTTTGAAATTCTTAGCTCCGGCTCCAGCTCCGGGGTTTTCAAAATCTTAGCTCCGGCTCCGCCGGAGCTAGCTCCGGAGCCGGGCTCCGGAGCTAGCTCCCGGAGCCATACCCAGCACTGATTCTCTTTATGGTGTAAAGCATATAGCTATTTAATTCCTAAGGCAGTGCAGTAGGCAGCGTGGTGTAATGGCTAACACATCAGTCCGGTCTGCTGAAGATGCTGGTTTGCTCCCAGCCGCCGAATAACCTTTTGCACTAGCTAAAGGAGAGAAATAGCTATAGCTCAGCTGCTTTACTATGGCTTATAAGCGCGATTCTATTAAAGATCCACATAACTATACAACCACTCAAATCTTTAAGTTTTTTTACACCTAGAGTTATAAAAAAATTTTCTAGATATAAATTAAAATCGTGTTTAGGACACAGAAAAGCCCTATTAACAATAAAAAAATTTAAAATTTAAACAAAACGTTTTTATTTTTTGCTCCCAAAATTACCTCCACATATTTTCTTCCCACTTATTTTGTTTTACTACACAAAATTGTTGTTATTGTTACAATTTTTTGTCACTTTATTTTAATTGTTTCAACTTTGTTTGTTTTATTTGTATTATATTATTACACTCCTTTTTTATGTTGCAATTTTTGTGAAACATTCTTATTTATCCAGTTTTCTATTCTTGGTTCATTATGTTTTTATTTGTTTGATTTAAAGTTAATTTATTTAGTAGGTGATTTATAACTAAGATACAGGATTTTATTAGGTTTTTGTGAATTAAAAAAGTTGGATAATCTTATTGTTTATATAAGTATTAATCCTTAACTTATTCACACAAAAAGTAATATGAAGATATTTTTTGGCGATTGTATATTGGAGTTTTACGGAAGTTCCGGAACTGGTTCCGGAAGTTCTGGCATTTTTTGGTTCCTGTTTTGGAAACTGGAACTCAAATTGGATCCAGTTCCGTCTCCGGTTTACAAATCGGTTCTAGGCGAAGCGGAACTTTTTTACACCCCTAAAGATTTGTTATTTTAAAATATGGGTTGCCCTTACACACTAGTGTTTTGAATAATAATTTGAATAATAATTGAATAATATTTTTGAATAATAATCAGGGTGACCCTTTCCAAAACACCATACCGCTCAAAAATAGGGCAAAAATAGGGCGATATCGGCCAAAAAAATCCCCGGGCTAAAAATCCAGATTTTGATCCGGATAATCCGGTCCGTATAGGAAAACTAATTAAAAATCCGGAAACCGGATCAGGCATTTTTCAAATTTGGAACTCTAATATTTATGTTAAGTACTTTAAAGAACTATTTTCCGTGAGATTCAGCGACCGCAAAATTTTAACACCCTCAAAAAATTTCTATCTCGATAAAGGGACAGGAAGAATCCGATCAGAATTTTTTATGTCCACGGATGTAGTGTAGCGAGTATAATCAACGGAAAAAAATTTTTCGTTGTTATAAGCGGAATGTCAGTGATTTTAATCAGAGGTTATAAAACATAACGAATTCTGCTTTTAAATCAAGCATTCTATGACTATACATACCTATTTAGATAATTAAAAATTAAAATGTATAATTTATTAAATGGAAAAATTATTATTTCAAATGGAAGAACTCATTTTGCATTTTGCTTTTCAAAAATATTTTGGATTTTCTTTTTAACTTTTATTTTTTGTTTTTATTTTTTAATCCAAAAATGGACTAACAAAAGTTTTATTATTAATAAAAATTTAATAATGGAAACAAAAACTAATTTTTTGAATGAAATTTTTGAAAACAAACAAAGCTTAACTGAATGTATTGAGAATGAAAAAAACAAGTTTGTTGTTTAATTAAAACGTATTATAAGTCTTATTTAGAGGCCATTTTATTAAGTAAAGTTTGAAGTAGGAATGTTACGAGTAGCCGAAACCCGGCTTTTTCATCAACCCGTAACATCCCTGGTTTGAAAAGTTGATTGGAATATCATAAGCTTTAAACATCAAAACTATAGCATTTAAACCAAACTTTAACTTTGCTAAAATTAAAAAATAGAAAGTTCATTTTGCTCGAAAATTACGAAATGTATAGATGGGTGCTGGGTAGTGGGCACTTGTTGGCTCAGTGCTGGGTACTTGTTGGCTCCGGGTTTTTAGAATTTTAGCTCCGGCTCCGCGGAGCCAGCTCCGGAGCCTCCTCCTGTAGGCTCTCTTCCTCCCTCCTTCCTCCAGCCAGCTCCAGAGCTAGCTCCCGGAGCCATACCCTACACAGGTATAAATACACCGAGAATTAGGGGACCTGTAAAATCTAAAATTAATTGAGCCGAATTCATGAAAGTTTTACTTGACGGACTGTAATAGACAAAATAAATTTGTAAAGTCTCTTTTATGATAAAATTTAATTATTTAAAAAATAAGTTATTTATTTAGAAGTTCTGATACAAAATCGAGATTAGAATGTTGTGGAGAAAAGATGGCATATTCATTTAATATACAAAAAAATAATAAATTAACAGAGAATTTGGTTATTGGAAGAAAATTTGATTGTGAACATTTAAAATTATTAAATAAATATAAACTTGCTGATAAATACAAAATTAAACAAAAAATATCAGTTAGTTTTCTTTTTAATTTTTGAAAATTCAGAAGTTGCTAAATCCATACCCAGTGTAGAGCCCAGAATAATATAATATGAGGGAA